TAATGTTGGAAAGCTGCGTGCATTTTAAAATTTATTTTATTAGCACTATTTATCTAGGTAGGTCTGTGTACGTTTTCTTGAGGGTAGATTCTATAGTTTCTTAACTTTTAGTATGCCTTATATGATTAAGTTTTAGTATTTATTGATCTGTACCTATAGTGGGCATTAGGGAATCGATTTAACACTGATACAGGTGTGTTTTCTGTGAAACACATACTTTTTTACAGTGCCACTTTTAAATTATTTCCCTTGATAAAGTGCTCTTGTTCCCGTTTGTGGGTTAAAAACAACAGCAGACTTCAGCTTTATCCTAACAGCAGCTGAAAAACTTTTCTTGAGGAATTTGTTCCTCTGTTTGTTGTCATGCTGTTTCTTTGTTTAATCTCTTTGTAAAAAAAGGATTTAAATGGTGAAAATCACTGTATGTGATGTGTGTATTCATGTGGGTTTCATAAAGGAACATGTTGGTTCTAGGTCACTTTTTTGTAAGCTCATTCTGCGAGGCATTAAGTTTCTGAGGAGTTTTCCTCTTTTTAAAGCCCTTGTTTCACTGAAGATGCTGTTTGTAGTCACTAAAGTATACATGGGACTGTGGGTGAAATTGCTCAAAATGTCATTCACTGAAGTTTTTCAATTTTTATTATTACTTGATGCTCCTCATCTTTGTCTTCAGTGTTAATTCAGTTCTGTGGCTTCGACTTTCTGGTTGCTGCTAACATCTTGTAGCAGCCTCTGTGTGCTGAGTTGCAGCATGCTCTGCAGAGTTCACCGCTTCTTGCAGAGCCATCAGAAAACAAGCCAGGTGGGCGTAAAAACTTGACCTTGAGCTTCCTTTGCTCCCAGTCAGAAACTATAGTCTCTTGTGTCCTTTCTTCATGCCCAGCATTCTCATGCTGTGAGCTACCAAGGTTCCTGTCAGCTCAGTCTTTGCTCACCATGACTACCCAAGGACCTCCACTACCACTCTGTTATCTTTTCCCTGAGAAAATAGATTCAATTTTTTTTTTTTTTGTCTGTGTAGTGGAGTATAAGGGAGAAAAGTCATTACTGAATTGAACCAGCAGAAAAATAAAAATGAAGGCTTAACAATTTTTTTGAATCCCAAAGGTCAAATCCATGTTGACAACAAATTGAAGGCTATTCAGTCACAGTTGAACCGAGGAGAAGAAGTGAATGGTGGGCTACTTACATACCTCCTAGTGAGTAAGGAACTTACTTTGGAAGAGATCTATGCCAATATGACTGAAATGCTTCTGGCAGGAGTGGACACAGTAAGCTTGTTACTGTTTTTCTTGTGCACAGTTGTTTTGCAAACCAGTACCATTCACAGCTATCTTCAGGGGGGTTATGTTGTTTATGAGGACATAATTTCTGATAGATTTAGCTCATGGAATCTTTAAAGCGATAGAAAATACTTGCAGCACTGTGTAATCTCTCTGCTGGAATGAAGTCAGTGTTCTATTCTAGACGTGGTTTGCAGGAACCCCTCGTTTGGGAGTTGGTTCCACAGTTTATGAAACAGATAAAATAGCAAATGTCTTTACATTTGGCTTGAATTTCATGCATTTTCATTTACTAGGTTGAATATCAGGTTGGTATTTGTGCTTCTTTAGGTAGACCGCAATAAAAAAGGCTGCTGAAAGTTAGTGTGAAAAAATTCATCAATAAACTCATACGTAGAATTTGGTAAAGGATTTTCATGTATGGCTAATTCAGTCAACTGGGACACACATTATGGATCAGATACCTGGTTTCTGCTGAGGTCCATTAGGAGGGGGTGTTAGGCCAGCACTGAGGGGGGGTAAGGCATAAGTTCACTCTACCCATGCTTGTGCTGGCCAGATACAGTCAGTCAGAGGCAAAGAGCTGTGGGAACGGGGCTCAGTATTAATGGGGCTGGTGTACACGATGTGTTAACACCTAGTGAAGCATTTTAAGTGGCCGTCCTTCCTTCTGATTTATCATCTGGAGTACCTGAAGAAACATTAAGGCCATGTATGTATCTCCCCCTCCTCTCGTTCCTGTCACGTGAAATCAGCGTAGCTTAGTATTGACTGCAGCATGGCAATCAGAAGAATGAGGAAAGATAGAAATGAATCCCTGTATTGTATATGCGATGTATACAGAGTTATTTAGAACATCAGTGAACACTATTATTGTAAATGATTGTAACTGAACATTTTTTTAAAAGAAATCTGTATGAATTTGATAAAGAGAGTGCTATGTAGGACTGTATTTAATAGTCTTACAGTGGAAAAGATTAAAATAAGTAAAAAAGTAAAGTGGCCTTAAAGTAAAAAAAAACCTCTCTGGATAATTGAATTCAGATTTTTTTGATTTAAGAAAGTTTGTAAGGTTTCTAAAGAAAACAAAAAAAACCCCAACAGTAATACTTTTGAATTCCAAAATAAGGAGCATATGTAAAGCTTATTTATGTGCTGAAGATTATTCCATTGGTTAAATATCCCAAGGGCTTATGAGTTTGGAGAGCTCTTTGATGTTTGGTTCTTAGGTAAAGCAGAGTTATTCATCCCATTCATTTTCTAATCTTTCAGACCATTAATTTTCCATTTTTAGTGTGTGACAAAGTTTTCATTAAACTAAAAGGACAGTGTTCATGCCAACAAGTTTCCCTTTCTGTTTGACTCAGCTTTCTCTGCTGGCAACAACCTTTTTGTGAGAGGATGGTACTTACGATTTCGTCATTTCCAAGTACAAGACAGAAATTGAGGGACTCTTTTTCTTTTTTTTTTTCTCCCCACTGCTATCACTTCAGAGCTCAAACTGAAAGAGGTTTAGAAGATTCTAAAAGCTTTCAAGAAAATTGTAAGGCACTTTTTGCCTACAAAGCGTTTTGGCTGTCCCTGGAACAGTGCTAATTTTTAAGAGGTTATGAAGGAGCTGGGAACCTGGGAAGAAACAGTGTTTATATCAGAGAAGTTCTGTTTACAGCTGGCACAATTGCCAGCTCCTCTGAGCTCTGAGAGGAATAGAACAGGGTTGCGTTTCAGCAAGGGACAACCACTCAATATTACAAGAAAAGAAAGGTTCTGAGAGTGATATTTCTAGCGTTATATCCCAATTTGAAGACAAGACATAAAAGGTGAATGTCATGATGAATTTGCATTCTAAATCGACCTTAAATGTAAGCCCAAACCCAAACATTTACAGAAGTTGGGTTTTTCACCCATACATACATACAACCCTAAGCTTTGTTGTACTAATGAGTGAGAAGCTGAAAATAAAACTGTCTTGCACAGAAAGTGAAACTGGTTTTCTGTCTTCATTATACAAGTTGAAAAAAAAAATTTAAAAATAATTCAAGAAAACTAGGGTAGAGGTTACAATTTTTCTCTCTTAAATGCTTTAAGATACTAAGAACAATACAGGTGAGGAACAGAATGATTGCATTGTCACTTTCTGTGCCTTTCTTACTCAGGAACACTGAGAGTACATTTTTCATGGTAAATATTCTGTTTTCAGTGATGATTGTGAGAGAAATGGGCTCAAGTAAGCCCTTTGTTTGACCTTAATGTCTTGAGTGCAGATGACAGTAGAAGTGAAATGTCCTAAGTCTGTCTAGTATTTCAGTGGGATAGTCTCTGAAATCCAGATAGCTTAAACAGAGGGACTCATGGTTAAATGAATGGTAAATATTGGATCACAAAAACATAAAAAGTTGAAATACTCTACTTAGTTCCATGTTAGTATAGATGGAGCGAGTTTGTGCTCTCAGAGTATGTCTTAAACCACAAATGTGCATTGAAGTGCAATTTTTCCAGAAAGAGGATTAGATGATGGGTTACTTTAAATCATTTCATGCTCAAAGTTGAACTGTCTCCTGCCTCATGTTCTGTTTCTTTATTTGTACAAAATATTTTAAAATTATTTTTCTCACAGTACCTCATTTTTTGAGCCTTGGTGATTATTAGAATAATTAATTATGGCAGGTGGGATTATTTTAACGTTTTGGGGCCACTTTACATACATAAGCTCCTCTTCGAGATTCCTTAAGAAAGCTTACAATAGGATGCTGGATTTCAGTCAAGTGGGAATTTTCAAGAGGTAGAAAATGCCAATTGTAGTGTAGCATTGCTTACCAAAGGATAATCTTAGCAGCGATAATATCAGTTCTGTGGTGTGGATGCTATGAGGAGACCATCATATGCTTAAAAGGGCTTGGTAATGCTCTGTGTAGTATTTTCTTATCTTTTTCCTGTGAAATGTTTTTGTTGGGAAGAAAGGTGAAACACATATTGAAAACTAACAGTTAACTTAATCCATTGCTGTTTGGAGTATTTATGCTTCAGTATTGTGTATGTAGTTCTGTTTGCGTTTGGGTTTTCTGTGGCTTTTTATATTTCACTGGGAAAATATCAGCATGGATTGTTTTGTTATGTGGGGGATTTTTAGATGGAAAAGGGATGAAGGAGCGGATGGTGAAGTCTGACAACATCCCATTGAGTCCAGATGTGAATCATTGCTAGTCTGTTTTATAACTTTAAACATATGAAACACATAGTTGAAAACTGGTTGTTTTTCTTGGCTTGAAATGATTTTTAATTGTGGTTTCTTCCTTAGACTTCTTTTACTTTGTCCTGGGCAACATACTTGTTGGCAAAGCACCCCGAGGTTCAACGACGTGTTTATGAGGAAATAGTCAATAAGCTGGAGAAAGACCAAGTTCCTGTTGCTCATGATGTCCCGAAATTGCCTTTGATTAGAGCTGTGCTGAAAGAAACCTTGAGGTAAGTAGCAGCTGTAATCATTAATTAAAAAATTTAATTCCGTGTAGTTGTAATGGATTTTGAGTCCATGCTGATGTTTGTATTTAGTTGTTGTTACTGCTGTTTGCTGCTTCTGCTTTTATTTATTGTAGCAGTATTGTGTCCAAGGATGCCTAAGCGATGACATATGATAGATTATATAATGTTTAATGTTTTTAAGTATGGCAGAAGTAGTATCACATATGTAGGACGTGTCTGCTAAGGTAGGTAACTGAAAGCTTTATTTTTGCCTTTAAGTATTAGTCTGTATGATAGACTGTAACAACCTTCTCCCCCACACTGGTGCTTTGCAGTGCCACTGCAGTCATTTTAAGCTTCTTGACTTAAATTGAAAACATGTGACATGCTTTTTTTATATGTTTACACCAAACGTTCATAGTGAGGTGAGGGGAGTAAGAAGATTTTAGAGAAGGCATCAAGAAGGCTTTTTCAGCTCCCAGTAGTGCTAAAACATCTTCAGCTTGACCAATTGATTGCATATTTGTACATGTGTAAAGCAAATAAATATATAGACCAAATAGCTCAGCCTCCAGTTACTAGTAAATAACTTTTCTCAGGTATTAATCATATTCTCAGAGATGATTCGTGGTCTTGGAATCTCTAAAGTGTTCTTTACTTTTGAAAAAACCTTTTTGCTGTGAAAGTATATTGCAGGCATATTGCATATTTGTGAATGCAAATTGGAATCTAAACTTTTAAAGTTGTATTAGTTATTACTGTTGAACAGCTTATAAATATTTGTCTCTAGGTTATATCCAGTGTTGCCTGGAAATGGAAGAGTGACCCAAAAAGACTTGATCGTTGGAGGATACTTGATACCTAAAGGGGTAGGTTCTGTTGCAGTCATCTGCAGAGAACACAGTTTAATTTTTGTGTATGAAATGAGATCTGTAACAACATACATACACTTAATTGATTTCAAAAGATTTCACCAAGGTAGAGCATTAAGAGGAAAGTATTTCATTAACACCCGTTTATATGACAAAAACAGATTTTATGATTAACTTGTTGCTGTTGGGTTTTTTAGATTTGTGTCCTCACCCGCTAATCAAATTTACCATCATAACTCATTATTAATATTTTTGAGGGTGGAATCTGTTAATAACAACTCTGTGCAATGTTACAATTTGATTAAAAAAGCATGAATTTCATTATTCTTGCAGGTTTCTAATTCTTTGCCTGTTAATTCCCTTTGTAGAAAGAGTTTAATTTCCTTTTTAAATCATTAATCTTTCCTTTGTACTATTCAGAGATTACACAGATCATGGTAGAACTATATGACTCTATTTTAAATGACAGCACTTCTGTGTTAGAGCAACATAGCTTTAAACCAGTGAGGCTTCTTAATGTACTTATTTAAATGTTATTCCCCCCACAATCAATCCAGCCCCCCTCCCCAGTTTATTTGGAAACATCATCACATCAATTATTGCTGGGTTTTTTCCTGAAGTGTTGTGGGGCTTTTTCCTTCCCATCCTCTATTTTTTCCTTTTCCATTGTCTTGTAACACTCTTCTCCCTTTCTCTCACACTATCTTTTTAAGACAATTCCCAATACTTGTGACTTTTGTTCCTATCTCCTTCCCCACTGAATCTTCTCTAATACATCCAGCAAGATTATTTCATTTGACCGGTTGAGAAAGGGATCTGATTTTCTAGGTATCCTTTTTTCTTCTAGAATTACTCAAAGATACTTAATTTTTATCACTTCATATTGCAGAAATTACCGTAATTACAAATGTTTTTTTATTTTGTTATGTGTATTTGAGTTAGCTAAATATAAATATAATTTCTGTCCTCAGACGCAGCTGGCACTCTGTCATTATACTACATCATACAGTGAAGAAAATTTTTCAATGGCAAATGAGTTCCGACCTGAGCGCTGGCTGAGGAAAGATAATTTGGACAGAGTGGACAATTTTGGTTCCATCCCCTTTGGTTATGGCATTCGAAGTTGTATAGGAAAAAGAATTGCAGAGCTGGAAATTCATCTTGCATTGATTCAGGTTAGAACTATGTGACAGCATTACAAGAAGAAAAATATCTTGGTATGATTCTTTTCTATGTATACCATTTCTGGATTTCTTACAGTGCTCAAAACCTTTGTTTTGGAGTGTTGTCTAGCATAGTCATCCTGCAAAGGCTTAAAAAATTGAAAATAATCATGCTTGAAATGTAGCATGCTAGTTAAACTACATTGCGGAAGTAAAAATCTTTATACCACAAATGAAGTAAAATTAAAGGTAAGATCATTAAGGAAACACATGGATTTAATACAGAAGGGTTTTGTAAGCAAATTGGAAGTCTTTCTTAATGCGTATTAGAATGGTTGCCTGCTCAGTTTTAGTACTTCAGTTACAAAGAATTCAGTACTTAGAGACATAAAATAGTTTTTATATCCTTGTACTGACCACAGTGTTATGACAAATGGGAGTTTCCTATGTTCTGTGGTTTTCTGTCCCTTCTTGTTCTTTCTTCTAACTTTATTATCGTTTTAAATATACATAATTTGTAGTTACATAAGTAGCTAGTACATATTGATATATATTGTTTTCCATTGCTTTGTATCATAAAGAAAGCTTTCCCAACAGCTGCCACACTTTTTGTCATTTACAAGACACCCTTTAACTCAAATACTGAGATCAGATTGTGCAATCAAAACTCAGAGATTTGGAAACTATTTATAGTTACTTAACTGTAAAAATATTTAGACCCGTTATAGGTATTCAAAGCAAAGCTTGATTGAATTTGCCTCAGAATTTCCTTAAGTAAACTCCTGGAGCAATCTCTGAAGAGTTAGCATCTGTCTTTCGGCACTCAGAGTGAGATAGCTCTCAGGAGGCTGGATAAAACAAACATACTTGCATCTTTTTGAAAAGGAGGATCAAGGAAGTAATAGAGAGCCTGCTTTTGTTTTCTGGAAAGAAACTAAAACAAAATAGCACAGAGCCTATTTACAAGCACTGAGATATTTAAGTGATTTAAAAATAGAAACACATGAAGTATGGAGCTGAGCAAAGAGAAATTGTTTGAGGGCAGTCTGATTTCTTTCTTGGACTTGATAACTTACCTGATGTGGTAGATATAAAATAAATCATGTATTCTGGGTTCAGGAAGTATTTTCACATGTTCTATACATTGTTCTCCCAATTAAATTAATAACATTTGTTCCAGCTGTAAGTACCTATAAAATGCATGCACAACTGGTTGGCAAAAAGGAATAGCTGGAGGCAGCAGCTGTCAAATATTTGCTGTTGAACTAGGAAAGCATTTAAATAAAATTCTATAAGAGTCTGTCCTGCATTTGATTTATGTTGGTATTTTGATTAACAGTGTAAATGGTGGATTAGAGAATACTTTTAGAGTTTACATAGGATACCAAGCTGACATGAATTCAGTTCAGATCAGAGGATGTGAATATAGAATTACGAAAAATGGAGAAATGTTCCAGAATCAACACAAAATTATTCACTAAGGACAGTTTCAAGTTACTGCTCTTGAGAAAATGTGTAAACACAAATTGCTGACCAACTGGCTGGGTAATTAGTACCGTAGAAACAGACGGGGGGGGGGTATAGTAAACAATTGCCAACAGTAACGATGGTGATTCTGACAAGGTTGTGTAATTCTTGAGTATGTTAACAATATTGACAAGCATGTATGTCAGAAAGAGCTAAATTACTGGCGAATCCTCAGCTAGCCAATGGTGTGCAACCAACCCTATGTACTGCGTTTTAAGGACAATATAGTCAAATTGGAGGAAATTTGGAAGACAGAATAACAAGAATGAGAAGTTAGAAAAAGAGAAGAACAAGATGAAAATTTGATCAAACATCTAACACTGAAAAGGTAGTTATGTCTAGGAAAATAATGCATTGTTCATCGTGCTTACCAGGAGAAGGATAAGAGAAGATTGCTCAGTTTATAGGAAAAAGTGTTTGAGATTTAATATTAGGAAAAGTTGAGGATGTTGCAGTATTTCCTTCTTGAAAGTTTAAAAATAGGCAGCTGAGGTATTATATGTTCAGCTTTAAAACAGGTGAGCTAAATCTCTTAAAGTTTGTTTTAGCCCATGATTTCTGTGATTTCTGTTTGCAACTGATTCTCTCAGTTTCATTAAGTGTATGGAAATAGAGGTTTAGTGTATAGAGAACCTGTGTGATTGAATTTGTAGTGATTCTGTTCAGGAGAAGCCCTAATATTTGACTCCTTGAACTATGGCTGTTTCACTTGGTGCATCTGACAGTCACTGTCTCATGTTTGTTCTGTTTCCTTCTGCCTAGGAAGAGAAATGCATGCAATGGGATTGGGGCCTTTTTATTGCTTTGTTTTATAATTGCACATATTAATTCATATTAAAGGAAGTGAAATAAAAAACACCAAGAGAGGAGGCTCATGAGGTTTGAAAGAGACCTTGGGTTTCTTTGATAGCTCAGCCTGTTTAATCTAGTTGTGTGGAGATTCTGCAGAAAGGACTAGCTCAATCCCTCAGAGGAGGAAGATTTTTAACTATAATCTTCACCTTGTAACAACTGCTTTTTCTCTCTGGTGTGGGAATCACAGCACTTAGACTCCACAGAATTGGCAACAGAAATTTTGTTTGTGTCAGTCTGTTATGTTCTCTTTTCCAAAGTCTACTCTTCATCTGTAATTTTGCAGCTTTTGTAATACTTGTCCTGTTTATCTTCACAGCTGCTTCAGAATTTTGAGATCAAAATTTCTCCCAAAACTGAACCAGTTCATGCCAAAACCCATGGACTTTTGACTCCTGGAAACTCCATCAATGTGAGATTTTCCGACAGAAAGTGACTCTCACAGGTTTTGGAAATACTTGTGTGATTTTCATGGGAACAGACTTGCATCTTATGGATGTTTAATCATGCTTGTTCTCTGGTTTGTAGGTATTTGGCAAAATGATCAAGTATTATGTTCTGCCTTAGTTCTAGCAGTACATAGCAGAAATTACCTCTTCTATGATAGATAATTACCCATATGAAAATATATACTGAAAAAATTCCTTCTTGCACTGGGAATCTCCTTCTACCTGGAAAGATTTCTAGTAATAACAATACATGCATTGAAAAATCCCGAAATTAGACATGTCGGTATCATTCAGTGGCTTTGTTACACTGCTTTGTCATAAAAGTCAGCTACTCAGTGAGTCTATTTGAGAGCAAGAGGATTACTATATAATATGTGAAAATTCGCGGCATTTATGAATTTATGTTTTCCTGTTTCTTCTCCTCCAGTGTCTTTTAAAAGTTCCCACATAACACTGAAATTATGAGATCACTTTTCTCATCTGTAAAATCATTTACTCTGTGTATTAAAAAATGAATACAGTAATAAGAAAAGATAGTAGTACAATTTATGTCACTTTGTTTAGACTCAAAATACAGAACAATTAAAAATTTATCCAAACGTAATCCCCATGAAACATTTCTATATAATTTTGAAAAAAATACAGATCTTAAAAATAAACATTTAAATGTCACATTGTAGAGTTATGAACCCAGGTGTCATCCTTATCACCAAAGCATAAGCTGCGTGGAATAGCACAAGCCACTTTCACTGTTCTAGCTAATATTATGCCAAAACCAAATGTAAATAATAAAAATGAAGTAGTTGTTACATTTTCATATCGTTTAATTAAAATACTACTATTAACTATCTTCACAGTTCTTCAACAGTAAGAACTGGAAGCTTCCCATTGTAACATGCTGAACTCATAGGCAGGTGCACAGTTGCTTTCTGCAGGATGGAAATGGGACTACTGAAGTATTTGGAGATTTTTTTACAATCTAGTGCCTAATACAAAGAGTGGACACCTGAAATGGTTTTTACCTCTTGCATGATACTTTAGAAAACTTTAGTGTCACTGCACTAACCTTACATTCTCATTTTTGAGAGAAACTTTACACCTTGGGTCCATGTTGTGCCTTGAACAACACTCAAACCTGCATACCCTAATATGAAATTAACTATGTATTTATGTATAGTTAACTGTTTACATGTCCAGCTCTGACTGTTGTTTGTGAGGTAGTTTAGTACTGATATCTGTAAACTTTTCAGCCATATGCAGAGTTAGAAAAAAGTTGTGCAACTCAGTTTTTAAAATTACAACATTTTTCTGTGTTCATCTAGCTGTAAGAAGTCAGAGAGGTACAAATGAAAAGACACACTGTAGTTTTAATGCTGTACATGAAATTCCATGTAGGTCACTACTACAGTCACATGTTGTAGTATTTTGGTTGCTTTTTGTAGTGCCTTTTCAAGGTCTTGACAAAAGAAAAACTAAAAAAAAATCTCCTTTGTATGGATCCCATATATGAAATAATAACACTAAATAAAATTGACCTGTGAGAAGATTAAATGCTTACATCATGACTTTAAAATGTTGATCCTGTATTGAGCATATATATGTACTATGAGAAAAGCAGGTAATCTGTGGAGGGTTTTTTACTTGAATGAGTTTGCCTTCTGATGCTGTTTTCCATGGCTTCACATTATTCCCTCTTTTTCTTTCCCGTTGTTATTTCAAATCGTCCCCACCTTAAATACAATGAAGAGAGTTGTATTTGCCAGAGCTAGCTGACATCCCAAAGGAGATGTTCTCTAACGGTCTGTTTAAAAGTCTGCGGACTGAGTATTACTCTTACCATAACTCTGCCTGGTTTTGTTGACTTGGGGACGAAAGAGCCCAAGCCTTGAGTCCAAATTTGGATTCTGTATGGTGCCCACCTTTTGCATTGTCATAGCATCAGTAGAAGCACCAGCCATTGCTATGTTGCAGTACGTTTGCTACTTGGTGTCAGTCCCTAAGTAATGCATCACTGTAGAAGAGGGGAAGAGGCATTTTAAAATGCTCTTTAAAGCATTTGAATCTTTTTATGAAAACAGAAAGCCTGTGATTTGTTTTAATAGAGCATCTATCCATGTAAGTTGTCTTTTATACATAATAAAATATTTATACAGAATTTACAAGTCCTGGTTCTTATTTTTATTGCTATTTATAATTGCATTTTTTCTTTAGCATCTTAGATGTTTTACCGTGTTAGATAGAAGATTTGCTGCTACATGGGAAGTTACTAGTTCAGCTAGAAAAGATGGGGATTCATACAAGAATTTAAGGTGTGTAATGACCTGGCTGTAGGAGAGATAATATTATATTAAGAGTATGGTCATTCTGCAGGAATGTTACTGGCAAAGTTACCCTAGGAGTGATTCTAATATTCTAATGTAATGGTTTGATTAATGACAATTGCTTACTACATGGAAGAGTATTAATAATATAAAGAGTGAAGGCACAAAGTGTACATATAAAAAAAACCCCCAAACAACAGAACTCAGAATGTAATAGAGCTGGGATAGAATTTAATAGCAAAAGACATGTATGTAGGGAGTAAAAAGAATTTGAGGAGCTCACCAGTTGGAAATTAAATGTGTAGAGGAAGACTTAGGTAATCACTGATGAGAAGAAATTGCAAATGTGTTGGAATAATGAAAAATACAGCCTAGAATGTATGAGATGAAGTATCTCTGATAGAGCTTGGGGAAGAATAGGTAAGAGTGCATCTGAAGTGCTATGTACAGCATGGTTATCTGTTCAAGAAAGGTGGTGTTTGATTTGAACAGGTAAGGCAACTGCTAAGATTACCAGGTTAATAAAATTTCTGTGAGTGGTGCTTTTTGCTCTTCCTCCCTGTGATTTAAGCAGATCACAAGCTTTGCAGATCAAGCCCTGGCACATCTGGAAGCTATGTAACCATGGACTTAGGAGAACTTGTTTCTTTGGACACAAAACTACGCTGACTTGATTATGCTCCTTCCAGTTGGATTAGATAGCAGGTAGTAGAAACATGGATATCTGCAAGATACTAAATGTATCCACAAAAATGTTCATGTAAATAGTCTGGAAAAGTGAATATTGAGAGAGGAGATAAATGTTCTTTTCAAATACCTTCAAGTTAAGGTGTTTACTCCTTAAAGGGCAATGCCTACCCAAACAAGTATCACCAGCTAGCCCTGAATAAGCTGGTGTAGAAAGTTTCAAGCCATCAGGAGAATGAGAATTTAGAATAAATTTACTGTGAGAAATGGTGAAGAAAAAAAAAAAACAAACCACCACCAAATGATGGAGCATGGTGAAAAGAATTCTGTAAAGCGATCGTTTAACTAGAATCACTGTATTCAGTTAGTCTGTTCTCTGTTTTTTCTTACTCTGTTGTAGGTACACAGGCGTGGAAGGAATACATGAGGTCAATGGTGAAGTAGTCACAACTCCATCAAAATTGTGTGCCACTGGTGAATGAAACTTATGAGGAACTTAAATACCCCGGCATTGATGATGGATGGAGAGTAGCATGCCTGGCAGCTGTGAACATGAGAGAAGTAGGCACTGGGTGTGTGTTTGGAGCTAGAAACAGAAGAGTTGTTCTGTCACGCACAGGACTGGGGAAGGGGAGTAGGAGAGCCACACAGAGTAGAGACTTGGGGCTATACCAAATAGATAATCTACGGAAGCATACATCAAGGTTAGGGAACTGGAGAGGTGAGCTGTGGACTCCATGTAGGATGGGGGAAGACTGGTTTTGATCATTGAGGTCTTTCCTTCTGAAGTTATGTTGTCACATAATGTTTATAACTTGAAAAAATGCTATCATATAATTACTAAATATTTACATCTTTGGTAATGCCAGACTTCCCCTGTGTGTGCCCAGGGAAAGACTGAAGGGATGTAACAGATCACTAATTCTTGATGTTCCAGAGCAATGTTAGTTTGCACTGGCAGGCTCCCGTGGAGGCAGAGGCATCGGAGTGTTTTTCACCTCCTGAAGTGTCAATAGAGGATTTACAAGGTCATGTGAAAAGCTGATGCCAAGATGATTTAAAATACTACCAAGTTATAGTCACAGTGCTGTACAGCTGCTTAGGACAGATGTAAATACATATGCCAATACAATCACTGTGGAAGACAAGTCCAACTGGTCTTACGCATTGGACCCTTCTGATTTTTGCAAGGTGATTGTCTCTGTCATGGACTGTATATATTGAAGCAAGATAAACTATGGTTCACTGGAATGTCTGTTGGAACATATTAGGTAAAAGGTCCAAAGTTGCTGGGTATTTCTTAGTCATATGTAGGTTTTCATGTAAATTTTACACCAGCAGCAGTAAAAAATAAAGTTAGATGGAAGAGTGTGAGTAGTAACTATTTTAATACCTCATCACTTCAAAAATACGTATTTGTATATATCTATGCACAAAAAAAAGGGAAATATTTTATCCTCTGTGATTATTAGTCACTTACTTTTTTCCCTTTCAAAGGGTATTGACACAGAAAATAAGTTAATGTATATCCAGATCTTGCAAATATTGTTTATTCATGTTCATGCTGAATTTAAAAAAAAAAAACCCATGCATATGTCACGTGAGTCTTTTAAAAATAATTTCATCTGAGAGTTTCCCCTGTGGTTTCCAAAGTAATTTTCTTCAAGAAACCCACTGAAAGTACTTCTCTGTGGTTTCGGTACCACTAGGTGGTGCTGCCTTAATAGTGTTCCTCAGTAAAAGTCCGTGATTATGTATCTATGAAAAAAAAATTATAGCTAAAAGCAATGTACTTACTGTAACTTCTTAAAGATAGAGGAGTTTTGTTATACGTGTTTTACAACGACTCTTAGCCCTCGTATGTGTAAATGTGCTCAACCTGTGTTCATCTTTTGCATTTACTTGCTTAAAACAGGAATTTGGATGTAACAAATAGTACAGTATGTCTGAAGTTTCATGGAGCCCTCGTTAGAGAAAAT